GGGGGGGGGGGGGGGTTCCATTGAGGATCGCATTTTTGGGTGGATCGGACAACGGTCGACGGTTTCAGACACAGGGGTTCAATCCCTCTTCCTCTTGTGCTGCAGTCACCACTGCTGCCATGATTTCCTTCGGCTCCCTACGGCAGCACTATCATAGTGGTGTCATAGTGGTGGTTGTCGCAGCAAACTGCTGTAATCGCTGGGAACAGCATTTGTTAGCACGCGGCAGAGTGCAAAACAAGGCTCGACCTAGATTTAAACGCGCGTTTACATGAACGGTATGTATGACGTCGCTACAACGGGTACAGGAGACAGACGATACGATCGCCATAGTTTGTCATCGTCCATGTCATGTAGATTCATAATGAAACGGACCGACAACCGGTTGCGCCGCGCGCGGAGCGGGCTGGGCAGAACCAAAAATGATGGTAGCCATTGGTAACACCAGAAACAAGATCAGCCCTCATGCTACGATATGTGTAGGAAACGCGGATATAGTCGGGTCTGGCTGGCACGCACACAAGTCCAACACACGGAATAAAACCCAGGTTCGCAGCCGACAAGCTGCGCGGTTAGTTGGTTAGCAAAGTCGACTTTTCCACACACGCACACGCTCGATCTGATCGTGTGCGGGCAGGGCGAAGAAAAAGCTTATTTTCTTTTTCTTTTCTTCTTACCTGCTGCAGATGTACGACACGTTGGGCTCCCCTCGGACGAGAATCTTAGCGCTGCCGAAGTCGCACAACTTGAGCACGTGTGTCTGTTTTACGGCAAAACAAGCAGAGGGGGGGGGGGGGGGGTTATCATTGGCTCCCGTCCCGCTGCAACACACGGCCGGGGGATGTGGCGGATATCTACACACATCGTATCGTGCTAAGGCGGTACTCGATTCTCAAGATCGCGGGTTTGGCGAGAAGTCTTGAATGCTTGTAAAAGGGGTGTCAACCCGTCCAGTGGAAAGATCTAGACACAGGTCTACAACGGAGCACAGAACTTGCCTACTGCTATTGCTGCTGCAGGCACCGTTTCGAGCGTGGCGGGGGCATCGCCTCGCCTCGAATCGATCGCACTGAAGGCTACGCATATCCTGATTTTCGATGCTGCTGCAACGGTAGGGAAGACTGCCACGGGAGCCTCGCAAAACACAAGACGGCAGTTTTCGCATTTCATAAAAGAACAAATCAGAAAGTAACAGACGCACGACACGCCAGAAGCAGCAGGATGACCCTGAGCTCCAAAAACGGAAACCCTCAACACGTGAACAACGTCCGTTCAAAACGGAAGTGACACCACCCAAAGCACCCCGCTACAACATGCCACCGCACCCTTCAAGACACACCCGAGCGGACCGCTTCCACCCTGGAAGAGGGGACATGTTACCTTCCCGCAAGACTTTTTCAAAATCGCCTATTCCTGCTCAAGAAGTAGGCGGGGTTCGGCTTTGGGAGAGGGGATCTTCCGATCGATGGAGGACCACTGACCGTCTTCGACTTTAGAATGTACTTCCCCGCCCCCGCCCCCCAAGAAAAAACACGCACAAACACACACACACACACACACACCATGACCCTTAAAAACCCATCATCGAACCTGCGGATCGAGCAGCAGATTCTGCGGCTTGATGTCGCGATGGCAGATCCCGAGGGCGTGGATGTGCGCTAGGGCCCTGGCCAGCTGGTAGAGGTAGAGCTTCACGAGGAGAACCGGCAGCGTCTGCTTGCTCTTGTGGTACTGCCTCGCCACGCTGTACACCGTCTCCGGCACGAACTCCAGGACCAGGTTAAGGTAAATCTCGTCCGTCTGCAAGGAGAAAGAGAGAGAAAACCCCCCGGTTGTTTGGACCATGTAAAGGCAGGACCACAGGACGTTATTAAAACAGGAGGGGCACGCAAAATTACGCGGCGTTGTGCGATCGCTACAACAAGTTCTTGTGTATACACGACTAATCAGCTTTTGATTGGAGAGAGAGAGAGAGGGAGAGAGAGAGACAGACAGAGACAGAGAGGGGTCTTTGCTTCAGACGTGTTGAAACGGCACGGCCTTGGAAAATTCGCAGAAAATTCGTCGCCGTCCAAGAGTTGAGTGTTCAAGATGCACCAAAAAAACACTAAGCAAGCGACAACCCCCCCCCCCCCCCCAATCCAGCTACACATGCTTCCACCAACCTTGTCCCCATTGGAGTAAAAACAGTGCTTGAGGGACACGATGTTCGGGTGGTCCTTCTTCGCCAGCATGCGCATCATCTGGAGCTCCCGGTTCTTGAAGCGCTTGTCCTGCAGCACCTTCTTGATGGCGACCACCTCTCCCGTCTCCACCACCACCGCCTGGAATACCACGCCGAAGGACCCGTTCCCGATAATGTGCTCCGCGTTGTAGCTCACCGTACCCGCCTGATCTGGATGGTTGGAAGCACTCGACCGGCTCCTGGTACACAGAGAGGAGCGAGAGAGAGACAGAGAGAGCGAGCAGGCGGGGCGCGCTTGGTGAAGCCGCGCGTGTGTGGGTGTGTAACCTACCAGATTGAGCGCTGACCGCGCGTACGAGGCTTCGTCGCACGAATGTTTTCATCAGGGAGTATGTCCAGGGGCTCGGCGTGCGTGCTGTTTTCATCCCCCCCTCCCCCCGCCCAACTATGAGGTGCGAGGTCAATGGTCTAACGAATACGGCATGCACGACTATGAGTGCCCCCCCCGCCTCCCCCCCCCCGACGCAAGGAAGCTGACATGGCAGTACCGCATGCGCGGTATGGGAGAAGGAGAGGTTGCCGAGAATGATTCGGGAGGCGAAGTGGGCAAACAAGAAGAGGGGTAGACAACCCACGGAATGGGTCAAGGTTGTAGATGTCGTAAGGAAGGAGCTCGAAATTGGCGAAGGTGAAACGCTGGAAACCGAAGGTCTACTGAGAGGGGTTCAATGACAAGATATGTGTTGTCCTTGCCAGAGAGAAAACAGGATCTAACCAAAGAAACCAAGCATAAAGAGGGTCTAGATGGGTACGGAATGTTGAAAGAAGGAATAGCGTTCAAGGAGTACCTACATGGACCAATGGATGCAGGGACAAATGCTGAAGGTCAAATTCAGGACTGGGGACATTGGCCTTTAAGAACGTAGACGAAGATTTCGGAAGGTAGACGATGAAGACGACAAGTTCAAATGTGATCGCGGCTCCGGGTGTCAAGACCGGGTTCATGTACAATGTAGTCGCGGAATGTCCGTTGTACAAGAAGGAAAGGGAAGTGTATATCTGTCCTGGGAAAAGTAGAAGGAAGATACAGGGAGATTTTGAGGTATGGAATAGCCAGAAGAAAACGGCAAGTATTTGGGGGCGCAGAAAATACACAAGGTTTGGTTAGGCACCGTTACTTGCTCGACGTCCTCCACAGACGTATCAACCTTCGGGCCACAAAAACTCAATGCCGTTATCGGTTCAAAGGGACTGAGTGAGGCGCATGAAGACACTCCTCTGCTACGTATTGTGCGCATAAAAGCCGCCATCTTAGGCCACCAAGTACCAAGCGCTGCGCTCTCCTCTCGGCTTCAGTGCGGCCTGCGACAGGGACCTCATGATGGCCATGACCCACTTCTGTGACAGCTGTGACATACAACACTTCCACAACAACAAAAGCAACAACAACGACTACCACCGTAGCATCAAATAACACTCAAAGGAATCGGTCGCATTGTTCACCCCACACGGAAGGTTCGGGGGACGGAAAACTTGAGGACAAGAGCTCCACGTTATCCTATCGTCTATGAGGAAGGTTAGAAGGGGGGAGGGGGGGGGGGCGACGCAGTAAAGAAAGACCCTGGTCTGTCTTCTGTCTAGGACGACACACCCATGCCCAGCCATCAGCCGTCAAACACCAGCCACTGCCAGCAGACAAACAACACCCAGAGCAAAAAACACCAGAGGAGCAGCCTCCTCGTCCGCCCGGGCACACACACGTATGATACCGTGCAACACGCTCTTTCTCACCTACGCTCCCTTCCGCGCGAAGACGACGACTCTGCTCGCTCCCTCGAGGTCCCGCTTCGCTGCTCGCCGCCGTTGCCCAAGTCAGAGCCCCCCCCTCTCGCGGCCGCGGCCGCACCTCGGGCCGAACCTACGCCAGCAGCCGCACCGCGGTGGCCCTCCTCGACATCCATGGCTCCTGTTGTGTCGCTGGTGGCTACCTTCCCCTTCCCAGCGGCCCCCTAATTCAACGGCGGCGGCGGCGGTGGAGACCGATTTTCCAACAATAATGGAGTTATATGTACAGCAGTTGCGATATACTGGCGGCGGACGCCGTGGAGGCCGGTTTCCGAACAATAACGGCACATTAATATTTAATACAGGGGTTCCGTTGGGTTACTTGCGTCTCGTCGAGCGGCGGGTAGGGAGGTCGGTGTGTGTGGGAGACAGAGGCCCCCTGGCGAGACATGATGGTGCAAAAGCTTGAGAAACTCATCAAGTCTCCGCCATCTTGACAAAGGGCCATTTGAAGGTGGGGTTCGACCGGAGGCAGCAACACAACGCGGTGTTTCTGTTCTAGCGTGGGTGCTGCCTTCACAATGTCGCCAGAGATCCGGGGTAAAGAGCCAACGGCCTCATCTGCGACAACACGCCGTCGCCCTCCCTCAACAGGAGGAGGCGCCAGCTGCGGTGACAAAGTGCATCTGAAACACGCCTCCGCATAATCCTCTACTTAGTCAGCTGCCGTCACAGCGCCCACCTTACAACTAGCTTCGCAAAAGCACGTACATACGCAACAACGATCGAACTGCCGCCTGTCCGCGCAACAGCTGCAACTATCGCAACACGGTCTTCTCGAAGGGGACACCAACCCCTTTTCCAACAAGACAGGGCAAGGTGTCGAGAAGGCGCTAGCTACACACGAACCCGCGCCCTTCGCTCCCCGCGACCTGCCAACAAAGACTATTGTACGACTTCTGGACAGACAACACGTGACCTCGGGACTTGACCGTCTTGGTTCCTCTGTACAGTACCCCTCCCCCTCTATCTGTCTGTCCCGTACGGCTATCTCTCGGTTCTGTCTCTTCCTTCATCCTCTGCTCAGTTACCCCCCCACCCCCTGCCCATCGCTGAACACCTCACGGCGCCTGTGACAACCTGGTCCGGCGAAAACGCGGCGCGCTCCGTCCCGGCCTTGTAGGGATGCGAGGTCAATGGTCAAACGACTGCGGGACCGCCTACGAAGGATTTTTAAGAGTATCTAGAAAAGGAATAGGGAGGGGGCACGAAGACCCTATCCCTATCCCTATCCCCAAAGCACGGATTGAATACTTTATCCAATATGCTTGCTTAATCAATTTTGCTGCGTAGACTACTGCGACTGCGGCATGCACGGCTACGAGTACCCCCCCCTCCCCATATTACTCCCACCTTCACGGCGCTCGCCACCGCGCCCCCGCCCGCCAATGCACCGTCGTCACCGGTGGTCGTGGCTGCCGCCGCAGCAGCAGCAGTAGTATCCGTCGAGTTAGCAGCCATCGCCGTCGGTTGAGAAGGTCGGTGGTTGAGAGACACGTTGCGCATGTGGTCCGTGATTGGTTCCATGCTGCCGCAAGAGGACGAGAACAAGAATTTGTCGTGCACCGGAAAGGTTGTGTTGTTGTAGATACAATACTCGCATGAGAAAAAACAAAAAAAAGGCAAGATACCGTGGTTCGTCAAAAAACGAATTCAAGGAATCGGCGTTGAAAACATAACAGAGTTTTGAGTGACGGGCCATGAAGCCACAAGAACCAGGCTTGCTGAAAAAAATGACCCAGCTGCTGTTCAAGTGGAAGCAGCACGAGGCCGTTTTCCTCATTCCTATGCACACAGACACACAAAAGGGTGACGGACATGGCATTCAGAGACCAAACGAAATATTGGACAAAAGCAGGACGAATTAGATGCATAGTCCCTGAATCCACCAAATCACTCATCAAGTTTTGAATTGACCTGTGTTGTCTCTTTCTCTGCAAGGCGAACGCCTAGCGTTTGACCGCACAAACGAACCCGCCCACAAGCCCATCTCAAGACAGGACTGACACGCTCCAGTCTGAGTGGTTCCATCACTCTCATCCCGATTGCTCGAGGCAGTTCCGCACCACATGATACTCACACCGACCTAGCCGTATCACGTGCTCTTGTGTGTTGTACATTTGTTCGATATTCTTCTTTCTCGGAAGGGCGTACGGCCGACCAATCCCACCCTCCCGCCCGGCCCCACACCACTTCCTTAGGAACACCCTCTGCCTCTACCCTCCCCCCCCCCCCCCCCCCCCCCCCAAGGAAAAAAAAAATTTCCTTTTTTAACAAAAAAAAACCCAAATTGCCCACCAAAAACGGAGTGGGG